TCCTGAGTATGCTCGAGCCTACTCTAGGTTGGACAGCTAAAGGCTTAGGTAGGCTCGTGGATGGAATAAATGAAGGCTTAGATAGCGTCTATTCGTAGATGATGGAATCACACGGCTTGAGTAGACTAAAGCCTATCTTCGGTTCAGATTCCATAGACTATGGTACGCTCAAATAATTGTTTTCTACTACGTCAAATTGATAGGTTTGTGCAGTACATAAAAAATGTGTACAGGCGTCAAGATTTTTTGTCGCTATCGGCACCAAATAGTAACATTTATTGAAACAGACCTAGAAATTGTTTTTGAGAAAACTTTTAGTTTTGTGTGGATAAATGTCAAATCTTGGGTCAGCCATGATTTAAGGTGAGGTTCTTTCGTTAAAAGTGACGAAGTACTGCTTAAAAAACCTGAATCATATCAGCTGGTAGCTGCCAAAGACTTTCATCATTTTTAGCGACTAAGTTTACATTACCCGATCATTAGTGTTATGAGAGCAACTTTTCTCGATTATTCTTTCTGTTCTCAGAAAAAATTTGCTATTCTCGCCCGTATATTCTCTTTCTCGGAAAAAAATTGTTATCTTGTTCTTACACTGTCTTTCCCAGAAAAAAAATTATTATTCTTCTTCTTACACTGTCTTTCTCGGAAAAAAATTGTTATTCTTGTTCTTACACTCTTATTTCCAGAAAAAAATTTATTTTTACTTCCGTAAGCAGAAACGTAAACCAGTTCATAGATCGGCGGTGTGTAAGTGTGATTTTATTTTTTTTTCTTTCCGTAGCGACTGAAAATACTCAACTTTTTTAGTCTGTCGACGGAGGCGAGTGAATTTGTTGGACGGTTCCTTTAAGGTTTTCTTATTTCCGAGAAATTATCGGATGGAAAAAGAGAAAACAATGGTAGAGAACACGCTGATAAAAAACCTAGACAGAAACATCGCTGAAGAGTGATCTCAGGCGTCGAAAAATCTTCAAAACTGTTAGTTTTTTTGTCCCACCGACAGCTGCGACTCAGCTCGTCGATTTACACTTCTAATCGTAAGACTTCAGGAATTCATATTCCTCTTTTGTTTTTAGATTTTAAGATAACCGTGACATGACTTCAAATTAAAAATATAATAATGATTGGAGCTACAGTAGATTAGTTACGTAAAAATAAGAAGCTGTTACATACATGTATCTGGATGTGTGTGCAAATACGAGAAAAAATGCGGGAACACCAATACTTAATGGAGTTCCCATTGCCATAAGAAATGGAGCGAGAAAACGACGAGTATAGAAAAATATTCTCGTAGAACAAAATCTTTTCAACATAGTAAAAACATTGATAATGCAATGTCGTTTTTGTGAACACTACTGCTTGGACATTCTTGTGTTTTTTAGCAAACCGGATGAAAAACAATTCTTGCGAGAGTTGAAAGTCAATAGAGATAATCATCGACATGTTTTCTTAAATCCACGCTTATTTCATGCGGCTGAAGGTCAAATCACAAAAAGCATTCTAGGTTGATAGAGAAAAAGCGAACTAAACTGGTTTTTGTTAATGACGCACATTTTAAGCGTCAAGAAGATAAGCTCGCAAACAAACGCATGTTATCAGGCCTAACAAGCAGAAACGACGTGTTTTCTTATTGTCTATTGCATCTATGAAATAGTATGATAGTTCTCTTTTTCTTTGTCTTATTGATTCAAAATATCACTACAATTAAACGTGACAAAATCCTTTAAAAAACCAGGAGAAAATCATAAAAATCAGCTCCTGGATTCAGGAGATTTTTTCACCAGGAGAAAAGTCTAAAAATCAGGAGTCTCCTGGCTAAATCAGGAGATTTGGCAGCCCTGGTGTAGGTGTAGGTATAAGCGGGGTGTGGGTATGGATGTGAATGTGGGTATGCGGGTGTGAGGTGGGTGTGGGCGTGATGTTTCTCTTGCATCATCCAAGGCAACACCCACACCCACCCGAACTGGGTTTATTTCATAACTCAATTTATTCTAGAAGGTAATTTTCACAGGTCTTTTTCAGATTACATAAGTTAAACTGCATACATTGAGCCAGATGGAAGTTGAAGAGATCCGTAAAGCGATAGAATAAGTCGTTTAACGATCTTATTTATGGGAACAGCAATGATCATCTAACTAATTGATGGAAAAAGAAGCGATCAACACATTGAGTTCGTGAATGTGGTGTTCAGCAATTTTCATGATTCGATTCTTTTGACTCATACAGCTTAGATTTGTCACATATACATAGCTAATTTTATTTTCATCGAAAAACAGAGAAACCTAAGAAAAAACTAATAGGATACAATGTATGCCAATCATCTTTAGTCGATCCTTCATGACAGTATTGCCCATTGCAAGTAACTCGATAAACAAAACAAGAAGTTCTTTTGAAAAACATGATTCACTTTGACCAAAATCAGCTCATGAAAGCAGAAGCTCGAAAATCCAAATGGGGTACATATACCAACCCTGGATATTATGAATCTTATTATAGCCATTATATTGGAAAGAAGTTTTACTGCAAAAACTATTAAAATGATTATTATTGAGTAGATATTTCTAGTACACATTTATTGAATATCTTTTATTTTGGATATTTGATTATATACTTAGATATTTAAAACTTTACAAAGATATAAACAATGTGTATTTATAAATCAAGAATAATTATAAATTCTCTCAGTGTTTTCCTTTTAAGAATACTTTCCAATAATTACTAGATGAGTACCTTCAATAGGGTATCAATATACTTATTCATTAATCATGTTATCTTAAATAAAAATAATTCTTACTAAAATACAAATCATTTAAAATTACAATTTGATAATTGATTTTCATTAAATTTCTTCAATTCTTTTCTAAAATAAATTTAGATTTTCCAGTCCAGGAGAAAATTATTTTTTGTAAAAAAAAAATCATTTCTACGATATGACAAAAAAAAATTGTTTAATGGCAAATGTTATTCTAATTTGTTTTCTGACGCGAGTGAGAATAAAAAGAGGAGAGAAAAATAACAGATTAACCTATAAACGTTATTATCCATTAAATTCATATCTTGTCTATTATCATAATTCGTCAACTATTCTTCTATTGTCTAATGTTTTCAGTCAATGAAAACAATATTAACAATGAATTATTGCGGTCATATATATATATCCATTATTCCATTTTGTATCTTCATTTCTTATTCATTCTTCCTTCATTGAATTAACATTACTTTTTTCATAAAAATGGCCGAGAAAATTGTAAGTGTATTCTATTAATTACATTAGAAAAATTTTGAGAAACGAAAATAATATGAATGAAGTATAGACAATATAATAAATAAACTCACATAGACTCTTTCATGCATGTATGCTAAACGTTCAATTAGAGTACAGAAACGCATTTAAGTTGACAAAACATATTCTCTAACATTTTCACGTTTTTTTTCAGGAATTAGAAGAAATAAGAGAAAAAATAATTCAATTGACCGATGTATGGAAAAAAAAATTAATCGATGATGATACATATTTTGTTACATTGGACATACTTCGTAATGAATTATCATCTAAATAAACTTTTTTTTTTATAAAAGAACTTGATTAAAAAAAAATTTTTCATGATAAACTTTAGATTTTTTTGTGATTAACATTACTTTTTCTTATTAAAAAAAGTTTTCATATTTTAATTTCAATGTTTTTTTTTCTATATGAGAAAGATAATTATTATCTGATCAAAGATTCTGTTTGTCTTCCTTCGATATGACTGAAAAAAAGAACAACAAAAAGAGACGAGAGAAGAAAATCGACACATATAGTTAGTATCAATGGTAATAACAACAAATTACCTTTATTGAACAAATTAATAAAAATTCAATTTTTTTTTTGTTATTATTAAGTAATGATAAGAATTATTCATTGATTCTGACACATTTTTTATTAGCAAAAGAAGAAACATAAAGAGAGAAAATAATTCTATTTAATTTAATGTTCTTTTTATACGATAAAATATAAATAGATGTTATTTAATCGAAGAGTTGAAAAGACGATGCTGACTAATCTTTTATTCACTATTTATTAGAGATATCAACAACATCCAAAAAAAAAAGAAACAAAGTTTATATATTATTTTTAAGCTGAAGATTAGTTTATTGACATATAAGTATATTTTCTCTAGATAATGTTTTCTATTTTAACTAATGAAACACCATCAAAATCACCAAGAAAAAGATTTTTCTTATGATATAAATGGAAAAAAATAGTTTAATTATAATAAATCCATTTAATTCATCATCATTTTCATCGTGAACATTTTGTTATCAATCAATTCTTATGAATAAATATGAAAATTTAATTCATTCTAATTTAGATGATTGATTTTCAATTATATAAAAAACATAAATCACATTTTAACAAATCAATAAACAAATATATATTTAATACATTTAGTTTTTGTTCTTCTGTTATATAATCAACATTTTTTATTCACAAATATTTTCAAAATAAAAATATTTTGTCTTAATATCTAGATTAATACTTTTTTATCTTTGAAATATTATTAAAATAGATATCGGTTCATCGTTAATTTTATTCAAAACAAAATCAACAAATGTAAAATGATTTAATCAGTTAGAATTAGAAATCCATTTATTCTTTTTTATTAAACATTTGTTCATTCATTTTCAGACAATTGATAATAACAACACGAAAAAAAAAACTCTAAAAATTTATCTTCAATCATAATTCATTGAGATATTAGTATAAATATACTTTCAACGTCAAAGTTCAAAGTTTAATTTTATTGAAAAGATCGAGTATTGAAATGAAATGTGCATATCTTAACTGACTGATAATTTCTATCGATATTCTCTGAGAGTTTTTCTCTAATCTTGATATTTCCTATTTATGAATATGAATAATGTTTTAGCTGAAAGACTTATAAATTGAAAAGACTTCTTTTTTTGTAAATGAAAATCATTCTTTGATAATAAACAAAATAATGATTAATTTACAATAAATGATATCAGTAAGAAATACTGTGAAGAATGTTTCATAAAGAAAAAGAAAGTTTATCAATAATGTGATTGAACAAATTGAATATGATTAAGGTAGAATTTACTGATAGACGAAGAAGTTAAAGGTGAAATCTTTAATAGAAGAAAATGATCAAGTGAGAGAAAATAAAACATGTTTAGAAATTTTTTTTGAAAAAAATTCATAAATAAATATACGTATATATTTGGTTGGAAACAAAGATAATCTTTAATAAATAGAAGATTTTATAAATGTAAAGTAAAATAGGGAAAGAATTTATTTTGTTAAGTAGATATGTGAGAAGAATTTCTAATTATTAATAGTTTGTTAAGAATGAATGAAAAGATCTTATTTAAATATTGAAGATCAAAGACATAATCGAGTTTTGTTTTTTTTGAGTGTCAAATATGTTAATATAAAGTATTGATAGAGATTTTTGTATTTTTTTTTTTTATTGAACCGTGAGGACATTTAGTTTGATAAGTGTGTTGGAAGTTAATTCGAAATGAGAAAAGAAAAGAAAAATGAGTAATTTTATTGATATAAATCAATAAAAAAAAATAGGTGAGAGATAAATTTTTTTTTTTAGTTGATTAGTAAATCGAAATAGATTCGTTTGTTTTTTTTTGTAACCTTCTTTCTCAAGATTGATTTGTAAAGTGTATAAAAAATTCGTTTTTCTTTTTTTCTTTTGACGATTATAATAATCTTTACACATATAGAATTACATCACGGACTATTGTTTCTATTTTATAAAATGTAAAAAGAAAAAGAAAGTGTATTTATTTTTCTTGTGACATTTCTTTATATGAGAGACATTTCGTATTAAACATGAATTGATGATGTTACGTATACTACAAACAAGAATCACTACTATACGACAATAGATATTCAAATAAATATTTCTTTTGTTTGTTTACATTCTTTTTTCATTCAATTAATATCAAGAATCATTCAATATGAAATCTTTCATATAGAAAATTGTAGATCAAAATAGAAAGGGAGGAGAATCAATAGAATATGCTCTTGAAATTTGTCAAAAAGAATTTTTATCATGTCTTGAGTAACATTTTCCTTTTTATTTTCTTTCTATTCAATTCATAACTATAAATTGTTCTTCTTGTTATTTATTTATTTTAAATTTAAATCATTTTTGAAAATCGATTCATCTTAATCAATTTGAGACAAATATTCAAGTAATATTTATTTTGTTTTAAGAATTTTTACAAAGAAAAAAAAAAATCTGATCGCACAATAATCCTCTATTGACAAGATCAATATTTTTATTTTTATCGATAAATTTTTATTAACTCTTCTTTTTATTGAAATAACAAATTTCATTCTTTTCAGCCTTTTTTTAATCAAAAATTATCAAATTCATATTTATCATTAAGTTAAAATATTTTTTTTTGTTCTTATTCAAAGATTGAGATTTATTCATTGAAAATAATCAATTAGAAGAAATAGTTAATCATCTACGAGTTTGTTATAGATGTAGAAGATTGTTTAATCTTTTTCTTCTATTAATGATTAGGTCTTTTCATCTTTTCTAAGATCATCTTTTTAACTATTTCAAATTAAACTTCATTTTTTAAATTTATTCGTCGAATCTTGAAAAATAAAAATCTTTAAAATATTCAATAGGTCTAAAACAACACTTTTTTTTGATAATTGTTCGATTTTTGATTGATTGATATAACAGTTGTTGATGTATCTGTGGACTGAATCGATCAATATAAATTTTTAGAAGGAAGAAATGATTATATTCTTGACTAGTTTTATATTGATAAATGGTTCACCTTGAATATTAAATGATGATTATTCACATAGATCTAATTTTTATTCTTAACTTTATCTACAAATTAAATTAATAAATTCTAAAAGAGTTTTGTAGTTTTTCTTTTAAAGAGATAAAATTTTTAATCACGCCATTTATAAAACGTTCTTTGAATAACAACATCAAATAGATAAGATTAAAATATATGATGAAAAGATTTTAAAAAAAAACTTGAGTCCATTCTTTGTTCTTATTCAATTGGAGATCAAATCTTTACCCTTTTTTTTTATTTAGAAAAAAAATAAAACTGAGAAAATGTATATCGGTGGATATTAAAAAAAAATCTAATTTCTGATTCTATTTTACTTGAACAAGCTTTAGAAAAAATATATTCAATAGAGATCAAAGGTATTTTTAGTTTTTTTCTTTAAATAAACAAAAAAAAATTAAAAAAGTAATTTGTTTAATTTAGCGTCGTGCCGATCCTTATCTTCGTTCAACATCATCAACAGGAACAAAAAATGATTTAATAAATAGTGTAACTAATGAAATGCGAACAGTTAATAGTCTTCTTCCAGTAGGTCCTTCTCCACCACCACTTCCACCTTCACCTCTATTATCATCATTATCAAATGTAAAAAGTCCATCACATCGTATAACAGTTGATGATCTTCATCAATCTTCATTTCAAAGTTTAACAACAACAAATGTTGAATATCGTTTACAATATTCTTCAAATAATCAAAATCTAAATAATTCAACAATAATAAAATTAATTCAAAATCGTCGAGAATCAGATTTTGATGTTACAAATAATGAACAACAACAAACAGCACTGCGAATTAAAATTCCTACGATAGTATGTACCATCTACAATCCGTAGTTTTATAATCCCGAACAGCACTGTATGTGTGAAACCGGCCTATCAGTACTGAATAATGTTTTCATTATCGAATCAATTAAAATATAGATAAACCGGTATAATACAACTTTTAATTTCTTTTCTTTTTCAGCGTGTCATTCCTGTTATTGATCTTAAAACAATCTTTAATGATTCCAATGATTATGCAAATCACATTGAACCTGACGTTCAAGGTGGATCAACAATTGTTGAAAATATTCTTTACCTTGGTGATCACCATCGTTTTGATGAAAATATTTGTTCTACTAGGTTGAGGAAAAAGTTCGCGGTCATGTGCAAAAAAATTCTTTTTTATGCATAAATTTATTCAAAACCAATAACAATTATTCATCAAAGTACAACCCATCATTCTCAATAACCTTACGCCAGCGTTCTGCAAGTTGTCGAATCTGATCTCGATATCACCAGTGCGGCTCCTTGGATTCAAAGAATTCACGGCACGCTGCTTCGACTTGATCAAAAGTTTCAAATCGTCGTCCTCGCAAAAAGTGCTCCATTGAACGAAACAAGCCATAATCGGAAGGAGCAAGGTTGAGACTGTAAGCCGGATGCGGTAGAACCTCTATACCATCGAGTTCATCAAGCTTCTCATTGGTTAAATTGGCACGATGAGCTGGAGCATTGTCGTGTTGGAGAAGGACACGTTTTCGGCGCATCAACGTCGGGTAGCGCTGCTTCAAGACGTTGTAGACGCGCTTCAATTGCTCGCTGTACAGCTCAACCATCAGGGACCAATTCAAAGTGCACAGCGCCACCGACATTCCACCAGACGCACAACATGACTTTCTTGGCGAAGCAATCTTGACGAGCAACCGGTGGCAGATTTTGATCTCGTGGAAGCCAACGTCTAGAATGATCACGATTGATCAAGAAAGCCCGCTTTTCGTTGCATGTCATAATGGGCTTCCAGAACCGATCGTCGAACGGATTGTCGAGCAGTTGACGGCAGACTTCAACACGTCGTATAGCTTGTGCTTCAGTGAGTTCGTGAGAATCTTGTCGTGGCTTTTTATGGACAAAATCAAACTTGTGCAGGTAATCGACAACGGTCCGCTGCGCGACTCTAAGTTCATCGGCAAAATCGCGAGTCCTGGATGACGGCTCGTCTTCCAAAACGGCACGCAAGTCCTCTTCGTCCAGAACAGATGATCGGCCAGAATGAGGCTTGTCTTCGAAGTCAAAATCGCCATCCTCGAATTGCTTGAACCATTTTATCGCGACAGTTTTCCCGATTGTTCCTTTGCCTTCCACGTTGCAGATTTCGGTAGCAGCAGCTCTTGCAGACAGGCCTTTCTTCCAATAGTGGTGGAGCAAAACACGAATTTCAAAATTATTTATCTAAATTCAAATGATGAAAATGAAATTACAAAATTTACACAAGAATAGCTAGCACACGCGAGATATACAAGTTTTAAAAATGAAACACAAAAAACTTTAAAAGTAAACTTAAAAAGTTAAAATTTTTGCAAGTGACCGCGAACGGTTTGCTCAATCTAGTATTTGTGATGTAGCAAGATGAGAGATGCCATTTGAATATAATGATACCACAAAAAACCAATAAGGTTTCCAAAATATTCAGGAGCTACCAGGATTTATTGGATTTATTTCAAAATTCCGGATATTTTGTATAGCATATTTTTTTTTGAAAGATTTATAGCTGTCATTCGATTATATCTTACTCTTAGTTAATTTATCCACGTATCGTTTTTTTTCTAGCAGCTCTATATGTCAAGAACGTTATCTTATTATAGCACTTGTATTAACCAATATACTTATCCTGAAGTAATTCCTCGATGGATCGATTCTTCTCCATTGGTTTTATTCGAATAGTACCGTGATCAATGTATGTTAAAATTTCATATTCTGGAATTCTTAACACTAGTCAACGGTACTGAATCGTACAGTAGTTATAACACTTGTTTCTGACCTAACGCATCCAAGTTTCAAATTCTTGTTCGCGGTTCACTTTTCTTGTTATCAATCGAAACATCCTTTACTGCAAAAGTATTAACAGAACATCCATCCAATAGAACAATTCTGGCTCTAAGAGCATGAAAAAAAAAGACATTTTTGCAATCTCACATACTTCAAATTGAATCAGTCAACATCCGATTAACTAAACAAGATTTAACACTATGACGTAATTTGTCCCATTGCCTATATTCTTCTGTAGAATATTGTCATTAATTTGAGAGCCAGAGACAGTCTCGATGATTACAGAAACAATGTTCGCACAGAATGAATCCCATTGTGAATGTATTGCATTGTCGATGCTAGAATAAATCTATTAGCTTGATTTTTAGCGTATATCAATGGCAACGTGAGTTGACGATAGTGCACATAGAGACGTGTCGCTACTATTATCAACACAATTCCGAACAACAAAAAACTGTACAGACCTCAAGTTACCTGATGATGATCTTGAGGGTGTGGGTGTGGGTATGGCTCAGACTCTTATCTTCAAACACACCCACACCCTAATCACTACTGCCTCTTTTTTTTCTATAAAAAGGAAGGTCTGCATCGAAAATTGTTGTTTTATTCTTTTAACAAAGCATCTCACCGTAGTAGGACGACATGGCATGGCATTTCATTTCATGAATAATTGGAAAAAGCGATGAGAAATGATTAATAGAAAATTTTCCAATCCGAGTCACATTTCTAGCTTCAAAAAGTTAAAGTAAAACATTAATGTGAACTATTACATTTTTCTGTCCAGTACAAGATCCATAGTGTTAAAAGTGCAGTTCGAATGAATTTAATCTAGAAAAGTCATGATTTTTCCTTTAGCTTCATGTTGATACAGAAACGAAAAAATGAAGGAATAAAGATGTTGTTGAAGGTGTTATTTTCAAGAAAAGTAAAAAACGTAAATTGGTCTTGAGAATGTAATGTAGAAATGGAATCTTAGAGAGAGAAGGCACTCAAATGCCATCAAACGGCATCGCATAATAACACTGACAACAACATGTTGTTTTGACGAGCAGAAAGCATTTGATTTTATTCTCTCCTCGCAGCTGACAATCGTCTTCGTCGTTCTCATGGAAAAAGTAACATCAAATGTTCTAGAAAGAACAGTGCGTGTAGGATGTGGTTCTAATCCAAATAATGCTGGAGAAATTATAAGTGTAAATCGTAACCGTAACTATGGTGGTGATCTCAAAGAACTCGTTGCCTTAGTCGGAACAGGTTCCAGTGGACACGGTTCCAGCCGACAAAGCGCCAATGGCCTTAGTCAAGCAAATAGCGTGGCAGCAAACAAGACATGGTAGACGAAGATAATATATGAAAACACGACAAAAAGAACAGGCGATTATACTGTATTTCACTAAATATAGATTTTTTCATTTTTATAAT